CCCTCGGGAAGGCCAGTGTGCTGCGGGAGCGGGCTGGCCCGGGGGTTATTTTACCATAGAGAAAGAGTTGATGCTCTTTCGTGCGTGTATCTGTACATACGAATATACAGACACGGCTACCAATGTGTGTACAGCCATCGATACATATGAACGCGTGCCTGTGTGCATAGATGAGTACATAGATGTTATATATATGTGCATGCGTTTATTTTTCCCCCTAAATCAAATCTTCGGGAAGACAGCCGCGTGGTGTTCCCGGCGAACGGAAAAGTTGATCTCCTTTCTCTTTTTCAAAATTTTGAAATTCGTTAATTGGAAACAAAGCAAAAAAACTCCCACAAACAAACAAAACAAAACAAAACAAAAAAAATCCACCACCCAAAAAGCAAACCAACCAACCAAACAAACCCCCCCTCCAAAAAACAAAACAAAAAAACCCGAAACCAACCAAACCGAGTCAATGCGAAGAGCGAGGAGCGGGGCTGTAGGGAAGATTTTTTTTTCTTTTTAAACCCTGGAGAACGGTGGTCGTGATCGCGGTTCTGTGAGCCCGGCGCCGGGCAGCCTGGCGGCGGCGCGGGCGACCGGTGAAGTTAACAGGTCGTGCACTGTGGGTTCGCCCGAGATTTGTTGTGCTTGAGAGGTCGGGGAAGACTTATCCATTAGCACAGTGTTATGTGAAATGACATCTTCTCTCACGGTGAGTTAAACGCTGCATTACGGCGAGAGATTGCGAGGAAATTTAAGGTAGAACTAATCTCATTTCCCGGTGCACCACAGCCCTTCGGCTCAAAGAAATTTGTTTGCAAAATAAACCACCGAACGCCGGGACTAGAGATTAACCTCCCTTCCTCGTGCTCCCTGCGCTCCCCGTTCATTTGCTCACTTCCCATCCCTCTCCCCATCGCTCGCTTTCTGGGGTTGTCCAGAGCGGGGACGGCGGCCGGTGACGGGCTCTGCCGTCCGCGTGAAAGCGAACTGTCCCTTCCGCGGCAACGCGGCTTTCGATACCCGCGTTTAAATTCTCTCCCGGCACCGAACAAAATCACGTTTATTTTAAGGCGAACTTTAAGGTCGGAAAGGCCGCGGTGCGCGATGCGGGGGGGTGGCGCGGAGCCCTCTTCCGCCAGAGCGCCCCTTGCCAAGGGTGGCAAGCGGACCCGCAGCCCACAGAGGACGGGCTCCACGCGTGGGGCCAGACACCCCAGGCGGGTTTCAGCAGCGCCCTCCGTCATTCGCGGCCGTGGAAAATCGATGTCTTCCGCAGAAATCTCGGGGCAAACAGAAGGAATAAAAACCAAAATGCCGGTGTCTTCGCTCCGGCCTCGGCCCGCGGCTGGGGAGTCACCGAGGCATTCTCTGCCTAACGATCTCCGGACCCGCG